CAACCACTAATGCCTACTCAAAAATTTGCCTTCTATATTATTTCTGTGGTCTCGAAATCATTACGTTATTCAGCACTTTATCACCGTGGAGACCACTATATATTTTAGCAATAAAAATTTAAAACAAAATTTATAAAGGTGTTTCACCGATAGAGAAAATGACACACATTTTAAAATATTGCTTGTTTAACCTAATGTCTTGTTATCACGTGGACATTGTTGGTAGCGTGCCATTACGATGCGGGTTTCGGCTGGCGCTTGTCGGGTTCTCTCAATTGTAAGTTTTTATCCGAGTTTCACGTTTGCTGTTGTTGTACCATCTTTCGACTGAGTTGCTGCTGTGACCTTTCTACTGATCTAGTAATAGTTTCTCCTTTTTTGTAGATGTCAAAGGTGGTCGAGACTGGGTATGTGCTACGTAGATCTTGCACGTCTGTGATGCTTTACCATCTTTCGACTGAGTTACTGCTGTCAATTTTGTACTGAGTCACCAAAAACGTGTTATTACTTTTAGAAACGGTCGTCGAATTTGAAAATGAAACCCAGACCTTGTGAACTGCACGCCTCGTGGAGTGCAGTTCCACCTTTATGACCCATAGGTAATGATGCTTTACCTACATTATCCGATTAGCGTGGAGAATAAATTTATCTGAGTTTCGCGCCTTCGTTGTGACCGAAAGTCATCGCTTTTTATTCTTTGTAGCCATATTCAGACTGACTGTCAGATCTTGAAGTCGGAAAATGTTACGGCGTGGTACATCGTCTCATGATGCACTATTGTGGTGACTCCAGCTATACCGCCTGCTAATCGGATCGACGCGAATACTTATTTTCTGGATTCCACCGCCTTTCTTAGGTGTTAATGTAATGCGTTTGTTAACAAAGTTCCTTGACCAAAAAGAAAATGCTTATTAATTTCTCGTTATTCTGACATGATCCCTTTGGTGGTTCTGGGCCGGGTTACCTGCTGTGAAGGCTACACTAATTGTTTGGTTTGGCCACAAGCAGGTTATACTAACGGTTGCGGAAAACGGCTCGGCCTGGGCGCTGGGTTACCTGTCTGCAGCTACAGTTACATGGTTGCAAAGTCCCCTTTGCCGCACTTCCCGCGTCTGGTGGATCACGTCGAAATGCTTGTCATTCGTTTGAAAATTATGTGCAATTTTGTACAGATGGAACATTAAGCGGTCACCATGAGGCTGCCTATTTCAGACCGAGAATGTTGTCAAGCTCCTCCAAATTAAGCTTGTCGTCAACCCAGGGCTGTTCCTCGTGTAGGATGCTTGAAGTTTCTACTGAGTAGTCTAATGGGGTGTCGAGTAGGGTACCTGGTTGGTAGACGAAAGAACTGTGGGCCGCCTTTTGGTTGCCCGAGATCGGTCTGTCGAAGTCCCCCATGAGGCTGTCGACTGTCCCAGTGAATTCGTCCGGCCACCAGTCTTCACGCCTCGACCTATCGATCGGAGTTTCCTCGGGTGCATCGTCGTCCCCGTCACTGCGACACGGGCTCCCTGATTCGTGTTTGCATTCCCTGAGGAGAAGCGAGGAGCTCAGGAGGCTGCTGAAGTCCGGTGCTGCGGCTTTAACCTCGCTGCTGCCGCTGTCACCAATGGATTCAATCGGTGACTGACGTCCAACCACTGAGTTCTGTAGCAACGAAACGTCTTCTTGTGTAAGGTTGAGTAAACCTAGCGACAAAAAAGGTGGTGACTTGGGTGGGTAGCTAGGCTGGCTCTGAGGGGGTGTGTGCAGTTCGACTGACGAAGGCGAGGAGCTTGAAACGGAGCAACGTTTTCCTCCCCAATGATCTAAACTGGCATTCGGTTGGTCATCGCCATGCGTTCGCTGCGCGCTCTGCACCACCACTTTGGGGCTTGACGGTTCTAGTGGGCCCGAAGTTGTGCTTCGGCACACCGTTGGTTCCGACGTCACCAGAGGACCACTTTGGCCGCTTAACTCCTTCAGTTTCGTCCGAATGTCGGGATTGAGTCGCCATAGATCTCCCCAACCTCCTGGCTCCTCTTTCCGCCGTGGCACGCGCTGGAAGATGGCACTCCTCATCAGCGTCTGCCTGAGAGCAAGCTACATGCACAGAAACTTCATAATCACACTTGCACTGGTCAAGTTCTTTACAGAATTCTGTTGCTAAGGCTTGACTCAATATGTCTACTACTAATTGGGATTCCAGTCTTGAGTGACCTTGACAACGGTTGATTAAAACAAATTGAAGACACTGATGTATAATCGAGGTTCCTTGGACAGCTACGAATGTGTGGAATCCCATGGCAGATATACCAAAACGTTAGGTATAGTCTGGTCAATTCTGTGCTCGACTATAAATGCCACGAAGTCTAGAGTCTTAGAATACTGCGTGATTTTCAACTAATTTGGTCAGACAAATAAGAACGGAATCGTGTGTCGATTTCTCACCTTCCAAGTCGGTTCAGATTTCCGGTAAAAGGCGAAATTTTCCGCCACCCACGAGTAGATTTCATTCAAAGTGATCTTGTTCTTCTTCGTCGCCTCCATGCTCATGTAGATGAGTACCGCGTAGGAGTAAGGTGGCCTAATGCCCTGATTGGTCTGAAACACCAGCCTGTCTTCCGGGTTCACAGTTTCGATCGTCGGCGGCGCACACTTCAGTGACAGGTCGTCGAATAGACCCGCTTCACCACAGACCCTTCCAGAGTCCTTCAGAAACGCCACTTCACCCACCGCAGTCTTCTGGGAGGTCGTGACGGCTAGCAGTGTCTGGCAGTCATTCAGTCGGTAGCAGTTGGTTCCTGGGTAGATGGCATTGGATGGTATCCCATTGATCACGTGGTAGGCCGAGCCAGCATTCCTGATGCTCATTTGGACCTTGAATCGGTTGAAGAGACTTCCTCGTCGCTTGATGAAATGTCTCTGATTTTTCGCCTTCCAACACGAGCTCGGCTGACGCGGTGTGTAGCGCGGATAGCCTTGGTGGTAGTTGTTGAATAGGTACGACTGACGACTCTGTTGTTTCGATGGAGGAGACTGCCTCGGATTGACACCGTAATTGATGCAGTGCTGCTTGTACAACTCCAGGGTGTTTCGAAGGCATCGATCTGGTGGTTTGGGGGTAGATTCCCTGGCCCCGACATTAGTCGGAGGCCATGAAGTGGGCATAGGGGGAGACAATGGAGCCAGCGGTGCAGCCATTTTGGTCACATTAATATTCTAGTCAAACAGAAAAGAAAACAGGTCATACTGCTGAACTGCCATCAAGCTGTACTTACTACACCATAATTCAAGGGTGTTAAAGTGTCCAGGATCGTGATTTCTAACTAAAATTTCTTTGGTGCAAATCCCCAAAGAAAAAATCCGAATGATTCACTTTTCATAGCCTTAATGAATAAAGAATCAAGTGTATTTTAATTCACTACTCTTTGTAAACTTAGTTCAACGAAAATCTTTGCTTAACTGACCCCACATCCAAGGTTGCTATCCATGGACGCGCTACCACAGGCAACAGTAGCATGTGACCATGACGATTTTACATATAATCCAACCACAACCAACCTGCAGCCATCCCAAATTAGTCAGAGAATCATCGTCTTCCATGTCGTCCAGGCCTCGGAACTCGTGGTAGTGCGTGAGCCAGTTTTGACGTAACTTCCTGGCCAGGAAGTCGCTCGACTGGTGGTTCATTTCGGTGGGGTGCGGGGGGAATTTTCAAGGTGTGGGCAGTGCGCAAAACTGGACTCAAAGTACACAGAGGGTTAATTCAAAATTGGCAGTGTGCAATGCACGCGACGAAATGGATTACTCAATCGATCGCTGCCAAATCAAAGTTGATCACGCGACACGCTCAACTGTGCAGCAGTTGCGGCGAATTTGCGCGACGTTTCGACTAAGTAACACCTCAATTCATTATCCCTGGAGTAGACTGGAGTCCCATTTTACAAAGCCAACCTACGTACCTCCTGTAATGCCCCATCCTCCGTGTTTATAAATCTTTACGATATCTTGCGAACATCTAAGCTTGCAGTGAAATTTTAGCGTATTTCAAAGGACACTGTTTTTTGTGTGAAGCAAATTTGAACACACATGCTCATGAATATCCATCTCTTAGAAGTTCCCTCGATGTCGCCAAAATTCAACTTCAAGAACCCCACCACCTCAGGCGTCGTGCATCAACTCCCAACCAACGAGTCCACTGTGCTCGGCACATTATCGTCATTCTCCTCGGAATTTTACCTCTCATAGTCATAGTAATGATGCTCCGAATTTGCAAAAATCCTCTCATTTTTGAAAGCTCAATCTCAGGGAAGACTTCATTCCTTTGCACGGAAACTGTTCAACAAACTTACTCGCAAATGCGTACTGAAGACCAGATGAGTTCGTTGCAGTGGACGTGCGAAGGCATCATCTACTCACAAGAAATTGGTGGAATGATATACCCTTATGGTGGATATTTGGCTATCAAAAATGATTGTTTCCATCGCGCGCAAACTGCCACATTGTTTGACCAAATCTTTGCAAACACTGCCTTTTCGTGATCAATACTTTGAATCAAAGCTAGCGGTGAACTGATTACTGCCTTTATTTGTTGATTTCTTCCATTATTGTGCTTTGGCTGGAAGTCTGCGGCAGAATTTGTAATGATGTGGTTTTTGAGCTAGACTGGGCGCTGTTAGTAAGAAATGTGACCGTTAGGTCAACGGATCATTTCAGGGTACCAATGTTGGTTCCTTCTGCATGCACAAACGGGATGCGGTGACGTTGATACCTATTTCCGGACCCGTAGTAGGAAGAGGCTATACAATGTCGTCTCACTTGCTGTTGTCTAATTGTAATTTAAACCACACACTGAGGAAGATTTTTGACCAGAACTACTAAGACAGCGCATCCAGGCCAGATTCCGACCCAACTATAAAACCTTGTAGCCAATCACACATAAATCTGACAGTTGGGACGCCCTGATTGGCTGAAAGACAATCGATTTTGCGCTTTAACCCATGACTGCATTCTCATGGCATCAACTTGGGCAACTCTCTCTCCCACACAAAAAAGATATCTTCAGCTACGTATACACAATTTTACTCTGAAAGAAAGCCCATGAAAATTATCAGCGCCGTTCTGTCTTGCCGATGGAGCGTTTGCCAGAGAAGAGGTGCTTCGGTTTGAGGTCGGGGATGTGTCGATCGGCCTCGCCTTTCCTCGACTTGGCGGCGAACTTCCGCGCGGCAAGACGCGACCGCTGCATCGCCTCCTTGTGCATCGCCTCGTCGCGCACACCGAGGCGCGAACGCGGTCGCTGCGAGCGCTCCACCGCGGCGACATGCGACGGATCGGGCGTCTTGGCCCGCTCAACGGCCGACGCCTTGCGACTTCTACTGCGGCCAACCTGCGAAAGCAATTAACATAAGGGGATCACAACTTGGACGAATAGGGTTGCTGCGAACAGCGTTAGATCATGACAGCGACGACGCCCTCACCTCTGCACTGATGTCGAGAGGAAGACCCAGTTTGCCGAGCTCGGATTTCATCTGCTTGCCGGAGACACCCTTGTCGGCCCGCGATATCCTACCCTTCTCCTTCTTCTTCCTCGCCTGTGACTCGAGAATACGCAGCGCGCGAGCCTCACGAATCCTGCAAATCAGCCAAGGAAAATCGATCACCGTGCTATGGATACCCACCAATCCCAAGACGTTCACCAGATTTTGTGAAAGTGGACCCCCTTGTGACTATTCAATGTTAATTTCTAGACATTGGATCAATCAATGAATGCTTAGCCGAGGATTTGGCGTACTTTTTGGCAGTGGCTCGCAACTCCTGCATCTCAGGATGTGCGTCGTCAGGATCCTCTTCCTCCTCGTAGAAACCGGCCTCTTCCAAAGCCCGTTCTTGCTCCTCCAATTCGTTGAGTCTAGCCTCAATGTCCTCGTCGAAGAAGTCGATGACGTTGTGGCCATCGAAAATCTCCGGTATGACATCGTTGCGTTCGTGCGGGTTCTTCAGTAACCAATGGTCGCGCAGATTCAAGTAGAAGTCATCTCCCTCCGCCAACTCACGGTCGCGCATTGTCATTGGTCGCTTGGCCGGTGGTGGCTGTCCATCGACGTCCATCGCTGAGGTCTCGGAGTCATCAGGCGCTGCGCGTTTGAGTTTGCGCTTCTCGAGTACACTCTCTGGAATGTTCGGCGGTCGATCTGCGGCAGCCTGTTTAGTTTGCAAGAACACAGAAACAGTGGCAATGGTATTACTATCTAGATCAACTTGTGGAATAGCTATTGGGTGAAAAACAAACGTCTGTTTATGAATATTTCCAAATGATGCAACTAGCAGCGTGAGCCGATGTTCATACTGAGCTGTTTCACGTAATTTCAAACGGAATTTCACAGTTCAACGACGCCAACGTGGTTGGACGGAACCGCGAATGTTGTGCACGAAATTTTGAAGTAACTCACCTTCCGGTAGTTTACTCACGATTGGTTACACAAATAAAGGCAGCAACGTTTGAAACATACCATTTCTACGCTATGAATGCCCTGATGGGGGCGCATTTGTGGACATTCTGTACGACGGTTGCATAAATGCAAGGAACAGTAAAGTCAACAATTGCGGTACCTATCAAATTTCAATTGTTGAGGTGTTGGGTCATCTGCTATCTTATCGGTTAAGGTAGTTTTCCTCTGTTCGATTAGATCCCAGGGTTTGGGGCTACCAGCTAATCACATCAAGGGGAGTCGTGCACACACAAACACCCACCCAAACCGATTGCCTCTTTGACATCTTTCGGGTTAACAGAAGATGTAACAACGGACACACTTACCACTTTGGGACGAGCGATGTAAAGGCGATTGGCTATTGAGCCGTCGCGCAGACTCGCAGCGCCCGCACGCAACTTCGCCTCGATGCGTCTCGCGAGGAGGTCGTCGCAGGCACGCGAGCGCACTTCCATGACGCCCTCGCCGAGGAGAGTGGACATCTCAAGGAAAAGCGGTCTCTCCTCGTCACCACCTGGGCCAGACTCATCGCCAGGCATACGGCAAACCGAGGTGATCAACTCCCGATCCTCGTCGGATATACTCGCTAAGTTCTTCACGTCTGTCTATCCGAGATAGAAAGTGCCTCACTTACGTAAGCCGTCAAACAATACCAAAGCTTTGACCAGTACTCACTTTACAATACCAACTTCTGTCGACACAAATCAGACCAAATTAATTGGTGCCAGCACTAATGGGGAAGTCTGAGCCAGAATCACGATGTCCAAGGAGACATCGGTGGATAATGAGGATATTTTTAGCCGAAGACAAATGATTCACGGTTTCACGTAGACTTGCAAATGATTTATCATTCATGAAACACATTTTAAAGCATATTCTCATGTCAATTTTCTTCTATGTGCTGCAGTAGCTGTCAACAGCTTAAATTCAGAGCACAGGCGGTATGATACAGTCGATCATTTATTTAATAAAACCGTGGAACTAAGGAGCTTGTTCAAACTGATGTAAAATCGAATAAAGGCAAAAGCAAGAGCGAAGAAATCCGATTAGCGCAAAGACACCGTTACTGTGGAGAAAAAAGGCTTACTTTATTGGCGACGATTAAAAGTGGTTTGTTATTGAACAGAGGTCTGAGGCTTTTAAAGAGTGATAATTGCTGTTGGATAGAGTATCCACATTGCTCGGATAAGTCCATGATATAAATGATTGCAGCCTGTAAGTGAGCCAGTGCGGTGATGGCAACCATTTCAATGGTATTGTGTTCGTCAAGGGGGCGGTCGAGCACCCCGGGGGTATCTATCACTTGCCAACGCAGATTCTTGTAATCCGTATGGCCAACAAAGAGAGATTTTGTCGTAAACGGAAAAGGCTGAACGTCTACGTCCGCACGCGTGATCTAGACAGACGCGAATGGTGAGTTTGTACTGACAACGCACCTTGTTTATGAAACTCGACTTGCCGACATTCGGGAAACCACAAACAATTAATGTGCGAGTATCCGGATCAATACTCGGAAGACGTGAGAGGTGCTGCCGAGTATCCTCTAAGAACTTGAGATTGTTTGCTTGTCGTTTTATAACAGTACACATTCTAATGTAAAAGAAGTAAATGAAACAAATAAACATACCTTCCAAAGGCCGTTCTTTTCAGCGTCTTACATTGGTAGAGTGAATCACCATACTTGAGCATTTTAACTTGATCTCGAGCAATCCTACTAATTAAACACACAAAAGAACATACCCATCGATAATATTTTTCGCCGTGTTTATTTGACCAAGAGCCAGTTTGTAGTGGTCTTTAGAATAGAGCACATTGATCAAATCTGCATAAAAAGGGTGAATATTCTGGGGAACTATAGTGGAATGATATGCCTACCTCAACCATGGGAAACTCGGTTACAATGGCGTTAAGTTTGTCATGGAAAAATTGCTGGCATGTCTTAACTTTCCTCATGTAAAAATTGCGAATGCGAGGCATAGCATATTGTTTGTGAATAACGGTGGGAGTTTTCCTTTGAGTTTTTGACAAAACGATGTCGATAAACTCCTTAAAATGTTAGGCAAATTAAACTACGAACCTTAGACGAAGGAACGACCGTTACGCTCTTAAAATTATATCCTGGCATTTTCGGAAAGACAGGCTCACGCTAAGAAGTCGAGCCAAGCGGCGCTACTAAAACCGTACTTAAACGCAAGAGGCGCCATGGAATCTATTATATAAATAGTGGCGAAATATTTATGAAATAAAATGTTTTTTCTTTGTAATTTTGAGATTGTGTAAAGGTCAAAACCTATTTTAGCCTCTATTACCGTCAAAGCTCAGAAAAGAAAATAATTCGTTTTTTATCAAAAAAATATTTTTCACATATTGTCTTCTGAATATCCTAAATAAGACAAAAATTTAACTGAGTAAACTGATCTGATTTCGATGGTTGTTTCAAAAAATTCAGGTGGAAAAATTAAATGACAAAGCATAAACTAGCATTTTGTTCAAGCTTTCTCCTTGAAATTATTATTTGAGGTTTGATTTCTTTCGTCTAACGTTTTCTAAATATTTTTCGGAATAAATAAGCAAAAGGAGATATGAAATTTGAAACTTGCACTGAAATTTATAGATGATGTTAATTGCAATGGGAAAGCAAATAATTCTGTAAATTTTAGAAGTCGGAGCTATTGTTTTAAAGTTACTTTTTAAGAAATATTTATGCTTTGTAAACGTTCCCAGACTCGGTAGGACTGAAAAAATTATAACCTTGTTATGTGGTATGAGTAACAAGGAGGTAAGTCCAAACCGGGCCCCAACATTAGTATAGGCAAACAATTATTTTCGTTAATTGCCGTTTCCCACGAAACACGTTTCATTTCATATTTTGCCTATAAGTATCTTGCTGGAATTACCTCAACTGCAGGATTTCTTGCTTTTCTGTTGGATTTCGGTTTGCCTGTTAGTTGACGTATTAGGGACAAAATTTTCCGAAGGAAATCTGAATAGGTTTGCATTGAATCATTTTAAACGTCGTGCATTTTTCTGGTTATTGCAACTACAAATAAACGGCCCCAATGTCAAACTTTGTAATCATATGTTCTCTCACCTTCGGTGCATGTACAACGCCCGCTACCTGTTAAATTTTTCCAACCATTCAGATATGTGCACATTAACCAGATCACCCAGAATCTTGATCAAAAACTGCATTTGGTCTACACTGCTGCGAGCGCACATCTCGTCCTATTACTTATTAGGATGCTCCAGGCCGTATCTTGCCGAAGGAGGGTCATTAACGTTCCACAAATTTGAAATAGTAGACGATGCTTTTAAACAAATCCCTTCTCTCAGACTTGTCGGTAAATTAATTTTAAGCTTGTTTTTTAATTCGACAAGTAATCTAAAGTGGTAAAACATTTAGGGTTTATAATTGAATGAGTCACATTAGTAATGGTGAATTCCCAACAAAACTGAGTTTGTAGTAAGTGGGCAAGGGCATTTTTAGTGACGCTATATTCAGGTATTACGAAACCCCTGGAAGGTCCGGAATTTCCGGACGTAACTCTAAAACTAACAGGGAAACGGGTGAGAAGGACCTGCTGCAAGAATGTAGGTAGTTTCACTTAAATGATTTGTTTTTTCATCTGCCTCGGAAGAACTTAAATGCAAGGACATCAATTGTTGCTTTCACCTAGCCGAGGCGAAGGTGTTTGTGTTATTTCGCAAAAGAGGGAGAATTCGATTTCCTCTCAAACCTTGGGCTAAATTTTGGAGAAATAAAATTAGTTGCTACACTATAATATGAAGTATTCGGTGTATAATGAGCCTGGCAAACTTTACTAAACTCGACTATATGTAGGGATCATAAAATTGTTGACCTTTGTTTCGACACTGGCGCTAAGTTTTCTTCAATATAATATGTCCTGTTATGTTGTCAACAAAATTATAAATGCATTAAATTAAGGTGAACTCTTTTTTTTTTACTTCTAGCCCTCTTAGGTATAACATTTTGTAGTCAATTTCGAATTTGTAACTAAGATAAAACTCCTAGCTATGTGATTTTTTGCGTGAATCGTGTTTGAATAAATTATGCAGCCTAACAAATATCCATTTTCAAAAAAGGTTGATGTTTCAGGATTTCTTTACACATATAAAGCTAAACTTTTGACGTTTTGATATTTTATGAAAATATAGTTCTTTTGTCGATGATTTTTAATTAAAAATGATCTTTGAATGGATTTTGTTTTACGACGTTAATGAACTTGAAGACAATCAGATCCAGTATTTTAATGTTAGTGTCAGCGTAAATTCAATTTGGCTGTTCCCGTTCTGTTTGTCCCTAAACAAATTTTTTTGATTAGGCTATACATTTTTGTATTTTTTAAACCTTTGTTGAGGTTTTGATTGCTTAGTTCTTTAAATTGTTGTTGGATTGTTCGAACAATGGTTGCCATGTCTTTGAATCTGTAAATCTTCTATTTCCTTATTATTTACGAATTATGTTTGCCTTTACTTTAAATTTCATTGCTCCACCTTAATTTTAGTACCCGTGCTCTTTGTGCACACGTTAATTGATATTCTTGAGTGACCTTTTTAATGTATATTTGTTCTAATTTTATTTACATAATTCCGTGCAATGTTGAAAGTAATTTCTAGTTGCTTACTATTGGTAATCTATCAAGATCTATTGATTTTGTCTTTATATTCAGTCCTAGGCATAACTAATACACTTACATTACTCATTCAGTATTCTCTGTTCTAGTTTTCTGCGAATCACCTGTTGGTTTTTATTTAACTAGGTTTCTGTGTGTTAAATGGCATCGAAGCTTGTAAGAAGGGGTGTTTCAACAATGCTTAAGAGTGTTGAACTACTTCGGGACCCTTATGTCAATAAGGTATGTCCAGTTTATTTTTTTGTATCTTTCGCATTGACTTTTTTGAGTCACGACTTCTTCGTCTTTCAGTAGCAACTATTTTGGGCTCAGATGAGATTAATGTGGTATTTAATTTCATAAACATCACGTTGGATAACAGGTGCTGACAATTATGGAATACATAGGGTGTACATCGTGTTTTCTTGAGCATCCCTAAATGGTGTTTTAGGCACTGCGTTTTTACAAACACTTTAAATGTTAAGGGTGAGCATAGTCATATTTTACTGGAAAAGTTTCTTTTTTGCGTAGGGTTTTGGTTTTACTGAGAACCAGCGCAATGAACTCAAACTGAAGGGCCTCATTCCAGCCCTAATTGACTCGGCTTCAACATTCGAGGAGAAGCTGAACTTGGAACGTCTTCGCCGAATCGCTAAAGACTTCGACAAGTACGACTTCCTCCTGAGGCTCTACGACACCAACCGCGTTCTCTTCTTTCGACTTCTGAACAAATACACCACTGAGCTGATGCCGCTTGTCTACACGCCTACAGTGGGGGCTGTCTGTAAAGAGTACTCTCTTGTACACCAAAATGGGCGGTAATGCCATCATTTTCTACAAAATCCAATTCACTATTTTTTTGTGTACCTAATCAGATTTGTCCTCGTCGCGGCTCTCTGGTGTAGAAAAGAATGTTTTCTGTTTCAGCAATTTCTTTAAACTTCCAAGAACAATCAACCCCCCCTAGATTCGTATTGACTGAGGATTCTGAGGGAATCCACTTAGAAATTTGCCGATGATTAAAACGCCATGGGACGTCACTTACATTTGTGGACACGTGGCTTCGATGTCTCATTTGATTTATGTGTTCAAATCTGTCCAAATATGCCTTATGAGACTTGATGCTGGGGTTCCGTCCATTTAATCAGATTTACTCCCTTTTTCTTGCCTTCCAGTGGTCTCTTCATTCCAATTAGCGAAGACGCGAACATCAGAGAACTGCTCAGAAACTGGCCTCAGGCGCGCAACGTCAAGGTACTCTAATTTATCCCCATAATGAACCAAAACACATGCCATAAGGTCAATGTAAATTTTCGCTTAAGTCGATAGCAGTGCCTTATGAGAAGTTAATCTCTTGCCCTAACTACAGCGGCTGTTTTGCTTTTGACCACACAAGCCCATCGAGCGACTGCCTTGCTTCCATCTAATTGGCTAGAAGGCCGGTTGCATGATTTCCCCACACTTTGTATAGTGTAGAATAAATACTGGATTTGTACTAAGCAAACATGCAGTTTGAGCTAGAAAACGGCTTTTAATGCAATGCTGTCACCATGTCACTTCGTGGACTTCCAATTTACTACGTGGTGCACAAGTGATCCAAGATTTCACTGCCTCCTTTCTCAATTTGTGCAACTGCCCCATGGTCTTGATTCGCGCCCGATCTAACAAGCGTGACCTACTTTTCGGACGTTTATGCGTATTTATCCGTGCGATAACACACGTAGATATCGCGCTAACGTGACATGGAAAGCATTTTCACGGTGTTTCTGTGGATTTGTCAATTGCTTCCCTTCGCTGTCGACGGCGTTCCAACACGTTTGAGTCAAATTTTAGGCACGTTCAGCCTGTCAGAACTGGAATTCACCTGGTTGGTTGTTTATGTGTCCTTAAAGCGCCCGTGTCACCTCAAATGCACTTTTATCCGTTCCGTATGCATTCCTCCACCCACCCACCCCCTTACCCATCCGGCTTTAACTCACGTCGCCCGCCTGAATTCTTAAAAGTAACTCAACTATGACAAAAACTGTACACTGTGCACGTATTTTGGCGCTGCAAGCTGACAAACTACTGCAATGATCTTGGTGTTTTATAGGCTGTTTTTTCGCATTCTCGTACGTCTTTGTGGCGTATGAAAACCATAGGTTTTTTTGTATTTGCCAGTGATCCGGAGTTTGGTGTAGTTTGTTCCCACCACTACGGAGACAGTACACTCTAAATTCCCAGTAAACAGCACTATTTTCAGCAGTATGAGTCACCCGTGTGAGATGATGAGTTGGACTGACTGCCGCCAGCGATTTCACCACTCTACCGCGAACAGTCTACTGAAACGCCGCCTAAGTAGTAGATGCGTTTGCTTGCTTGTAGGCTATCTGCGTGACCGACGGCGAGAGGATTCTCGGCCTCGGCGACTTGGGCTCGTTCGGCATGGGCATCCCCGTGGGCAAGCTGGCGCTCTGCACCGGTCTGGCCGGAATTCCCACGGAGAACTGCCTGCCCATTGTCCTCGACGTGGGCACCAATAACCAGGTGCGTGACCGACTACACTACCAAACCACCCATCCCTACACTGTGCTCTTAAACCACTTCAATCATTGGTTCTCTTTCCACGTTTGAACACTCCGCACCCTGGGATTGACCCTCACTGCGACCGGACACTGCTAATCGATACACCCAGTCGTCTATGAGGCAAACTTCAAATGACCAGCGTGGAATGCCCCCTGTTCACGTATAATTGGGTGCCTCATCAAATTGCCTATTACTGATTTCCTACCCAGGGGTGTTGATTGGCTGAAGCCGTCTAGGTTTGTCCAAACCGTCGGTAACCTCCGGTTTTTTCCTTTTCAGGATCTACTCTCTAACCCGCTTTACTTCGGAATGCGTCAGAAACGCGTCACCGGCGACGTCTATGACAACTTCATTGACGAGTTTATGCGGTCTTGTGTGGACGTGTAAGTTCACCGTTCTCCTCCACAATTTCACGTGGGTTGTAAGAGGTTTTCAAATCTGAAAGCCAAAAAAATTTCTTGTATATTGACGCGCTATAAACTGATGCTTTCGACATGCCCTCAGGATTAAAAGAAGTTTGCTCTCTCCCAACCAATCAGAATCGATCTCTAGACGCAGTGCGACCTGGTTTCTGACCAATCATAGAAGACCTTCATCCACTCATCCAAGTTCACGCTATTCATGTGTTTATTGTGAGCCGAATGAAACCGGGTATTTGTCCTCGAATAGACTACTCCCAATTACCATCAAAGTAGACTGTAGTGTTCTCGTGGTTCCTTCTCCACGTTAGGTGTTTCCGTGGTATAATCGATACTGCTTTCGAGGTTGACGTTGTTACCTTACGTCAGGACACCACTAACCTCTCCACTGTGCATTTCATCTAAGTAATTTGGCCGATTTGACGGCCTTCCATGATGTCCGACCTCACCTGCACGACTTAGTTTTGCAACGAGCGTTTCAGTGAATGGCCTTTTTTACCCAAAACAATTTGGGTATATCACTCGCCTGCATCTGATCTCCATTACCGTCTATGATAGTTACAGCCATATCCTCGGGCCTCCAACCATTCAAACGGACGTGTTGCAGTCGCCACGTACTTTGGTCAATTACCACGCGATTGTTGTAAAGCGAACTGCGGCTAGATTGCCACGAAAACGCAAATTACAAGAGCCTAGTGGTCGCCTCGAGTTGCTACCGGACATTATTCACATAAACAGCTGCTTCCTGACCCCACCCTCTCAGGGCAATCATTGGTGTGGCGTAAGTAGAAACCAGTAATTTACGGAAGTTCACGGACTATTGGCCGTGTTTCACAATTTACTATGGATAAATTACTACACACATACACACAAGCTGGTTTACAACATTGTGCGCACAAATCACTGGTTCACGAGCCACTACCAACCGGATATGCTGTGTTGGTTTTCCGGTGTGGGCTTTGAATAGCGGAGAATTGACGAGGGCTTTTGAAAGTCCGTAGATGGACCTCATCCGTAGAAAGTGGAATGTTCAGCGTGTCGTGGATGTCATCTCATACAGTGGCTCTCCTCTCCACGATCCCCAATTCCCTCCTGGAGGCCCTGCTCGTTCGGAGTACGACTCATAACTTGGTTACAATGATTGCGTTGGCAGCAGGGTGGAAGGTGGCCCGATTCTGCTGTGTTTTGTCGTGTTGTGGTAGCCTGCAGCCTTGCCTACTCACATACGCAATTCAACCAATTGAATTGCCCTGACCTACTAAGTGTACAAGCACGTGGATGATACGACGAAGCAGAGAAGGAGGGGTAGGGTGTCTAAAAATGGGGACACAGGGTTGATTCGCTGCAAAACAAAACTGCCACTCCGCCTACCCACTGATTCTGCCAAACCACCGCCCCCTGCAACTCCACGTTGCTGTATCTTTCGGCCATCGCAACAACCTGATCCGTCATGCCATCCAGATCATGATATTTGGCTCCTGCCGGTTCAAAAGACATCCGTATGGACACCTACAACTCAGCCCAAATAGGACAATTTTCCTATTGGTGGACAAGAACACGTAGCAGACGCCTGATTCGTCCGTTTCACGCATAACTTCTAGTTTTTTTTCTTCTTGGCAAGGGCAACACGTTTCTTGTTCCGTCAACGAATGCCTCTTTGTCCGGAAAAAAAGAGGCGGCCGCCCGTGCACAGACACGACTGCGTGCTAACTAGCGGCCGTCAGTCTGCGTGCGTGGGCGCTCGTGGAACACACCTCTCAAGCTATGTGCCGTTTTTTCCTTGGTTACTTTCTATTTACTTTCCATTGGTCCTTGACCGTAAACATTCGAACCTGCCATGCGGTGCCTTGGAAACAGGTCAAAATGCATAACACACTTGTTGTGGTGGTTTGCGTTTGTTTTTCATGCCTAAACCGTGATCGTTTTATTCAGCTAATGCCTTCGTAGACCTTTGAGTTGTTTTGCAAAAGACAATGTCGCAATACTCTATTACTGCAATCCGATTGATTTGTGGCCTTGACTGTAGGTCGACCTTAAAAGTCGACAAATTTCAGCAGAAAAAGATCTTCTCTAATGGAACATTTCGAGTCGAATTTAACCGCTGTGTCGAATGTGACGCCGCCATTTTCGGAAAAACCGAATTTCCTTTATTGCCAACCAATGGGATTCGACTGCCTCCTCAGTCTTTTTTCGCTATTGGATTGGCGCACAAAAAGCGTCTGCTGTGTAACTTGCCATCAATCTTGCTAGTGCATTCCTTTTGCTGCAACGTAACTTGGAGTGCCTATTTTTGAAAACGGACGAGCGTAGTTACGCAAACCGGCCTTCCGTACTCCCCATAGACTCCCACGCATAGCAGCCGCAGTTTCCACGAATGGCGTTCCGTTAGCCTAGCACGAAACTAACTTTACAGTGTATATTACTCGTCTATTTCTTTGATGTCTGTTTCAGGTTTGGGAAAGATGTGCTCATTCAATTTGAGGACTTCGGAAATCACAATGCCTTCCGCTTTTTGAAAAAGTACCGTGACAACTACTGCAACTTCAACGATGACATCCAGGTAATGTAGGAGCCATCACCGAATTAGCTCTTACGAAAGCGAAATAACGGCGAAATGATGTTTTTCTCATACAAAACCCGTATTTTTGTGAAAATAGAAATTAACGAGGTTACCTAGTTGTGGTACACGCAATTTGGCATCGGCATACTTTGTTAGTACTTTGTACAACAAGTCCTGGAATTAGAGAATCGTTTCACGTAAATAAAACGACTGCAGTGTGACGTGTTTCCGTGGGGTGTCGATTCTTCACACAAAACTGCAACTTTGCTAACTTGTTGCACAGCAACTCTCACCTTGACATGCTTGCCTCCTTTGTGAGGTAAGTTGGCCACAAAATGCCAGAGAGTGGTTCATCTTGTGCGATATGTGGAACCACCTCCACACCGAAACGAACCTACAACCCAGTTGTCGCGCTGTAGCCGTCTAGATCTTCTGATTCTCGTGTCCACCCTTCAGGGAACCGCCTCGGTCATTCTCTCTGGATTGCTGACCGCGTGCCGCGCCACTGGTCGAAGACTAAGGGACGAGAACATCGTCTGTTTCGGCGCAGGCGAGTCCATGATCGGTTTCGGCAACCTCCTTGTCGAGTGCCTCATGAGTCGCTCAGGCCTGACGGAGGCAGAGGCCAAAAGCCACCTCTGGATGGTGGACAGTCGTGGTCTGATCGTGGAGGGTCGTTCGACCGGCGGGATCACCAAGGAGAAGGCTCCGTTTGCTCGGCCCGCTGGATCGTGTCCGGAGATGCGAGATCTCAAGGAGGTGATATTGGCGGCCAAGGCCACTACTCTGATTGGTGCGTCCGCGGTGCCAGGGGCCTTTAACGAGAACATTCTTGTCGCGATGGCCAAGCAGTCGCCTCGGCCACTCATTTTCGCCCTCAGCAACCCGACGGACAAGTCCGAATGCACCGCGCTCCAAGCCTACAAGGCCACGAAGGCAAGTAGTCCCGCCTCGCCCCTCTCTCATGTTTAAACAGACTGAATGATGATTGGTCCGTTACCGGGAGTTGGGATTGGCGCCTTGTGACCGGGGTTTTGAACAGAGGCCAACAATGTAATAAAACAAAGGCAACTAATGCACAATCAACTCAAAAGGTGTAAATTACACGCGGATTTTACTAGTACACGGCAGCCTAACGATTGCAAATATGGCCGATTGTTTAGCGATTAGCGGTGATTTTGGTGTTTGCGATGTCGCACCTGGATACAGTTGTTTAGGTGAGCCTGCGAAAATATTTACACCAGTATAATTAGGCAACTTTCATAGCATAAATACCGTTCGAGACTAGCTTAAAACTGTACGCGACATGCAGGGCTATTTCCGTGGAACTGGCGCCAGCATGCCTGCATCACCCTATACCTCTGTGTTTGCAGGGGGAAGCCATTTTCAATCCCATCATCTGCAATTTGCTACCTGTGTGCGCAATTAAGCACGACAATAAAAGCAGTAAATGACGCAGATGGCAGGGCGGCATTGTTCAAAGCCACTATTCAAAGCATCCGAAATCGTTTTAGTCGAGTGTAGACCATTTGTGGGGCTACTTCCATGAATTTGATGTCAGCATTCTTCGATCACACAAACCTCTACTTCTAACCCGATGTCATGAATCTTTTGTAATGAGGTTCCGCTTGAGGTTGACGACTAACTGATTTTTTGTCAAATTTATTTAATGTACAAAAGTAGAGGACAACGGGAATTTAATCTGGGAAATGTTGACCAGCGTTTTCTGCGACCTTGTGGCATCTCTCAGGTAACGCAAGATTGACGTCACGAAAGAAACTTGCAGGATTTGAGGCTAAATAGTTATCGACAAATTTACGCAAGCCGTCCAGCTTCTTGACATGTCTGTCCACTAAGGCGTGCTGCTGAATTGGCCGACACAAATGGTAGCCGGTTGAGGCCAAGTCTGGTGAATATGCCGGGTGTGGGAGAACTTCCCATCCCAAGTTCAAGAGGGTCTTCTGGGTTAGGCGTCGTGATGCAGCAGTATGGCCTTTTCTGGTCAAGTTCTTCGCACCGTTTGTTCAACAGTTGGCTGAAGCGTTGAGCTATCACCGTCGTACACCCTTACTGTCCCACAAAATACACAGAAGAACCTTGTTCAGATGGTTGTTGCCGGCGAACAGCCAGTGAAGGGCATGTGTCCATCCGTTGACCTAGGTTGTGTTCGGTCAACACATGCTGGGGTGGACCCAACTTCCATGCGTTTGTGATCAGCTGTTTAGATGACGCCTAACCGAGCTGTCAGCTCTTGTTGCGTGTGTTCAAGCACCCCTGAAACGTGTGCACTAGTAATTGCACGTTTGGGAGGTTGTGCACTTCACGTAGACTTGCCATGCGGTGTTTGAAAGCGTGCTTTCAAGGCCACATACGACCTCGAAGATATATATATATATATATATATATATATATATATATATATATATATATATGTT